AAGAGGAGGGTGAGAAAGAACAGACCTTAATAACTACAAGGGAAGGATTTGAGCTTATTCAAAAGCTGGAGGCATTTTATGTTTCACAAGGTGACTAGAGTGGATTAGTACCACAGCTGAGGAAGTTGAAAGAAGCATTATTCAAGAAGATGCATGGAAAGCTAACCCAAAAGCCACTGACAGCATTTTGGGGCAACAATGACATTGTCATATATGTTACATGTCACATCACATGCTATTTTGGTTCTGAATAAATCTATAAGTGCATATGGTTTTGGTGTCTCCTGACTATATGCATTGCAAGATAGTCAACTGTAGTTTGTTCTGAGTTGATATTCTTTCTTAGACTGTATCTCTACTGCCATGGGTGTGCCTGCAGTAGACATCTGAGATGCCTGACCAATGTTATTAGCTTATCAGTATCTGTTCTATGTGTGATGTATATTTTCACCCATTTCTCAGTGCTTAAGACATGAGGCTGGAAATACCATGCATCCTTCAGCTACCAGCAAAGGTTTGGCTTCATAGAAATGCACTTGATTTTATGTTTATAATGAATAGAAAATTCTGAAGAGAATTATTGAGTGTGTTTGTGTTTAGAATGCATAATCTAAGAGTTGATTATCACACATTCTTACAACAGCACCAACAACTAAAAGACTCTAATCTCATATAATCAGTGCCAATATCAAAGCTGGTGTTTGTAGGATCTATTTGACTGTTGGAAAAAGATGGCTAGGCCTTTGTGGCATCTAAGACATTATTGACACTAGTCTTCTTTTGTGACTATGAGGACCAATTTCTGAATGTACACTTAAGAGTTTTATTCTTACAGGTTAAAACAAGGCTAATACATAATTAGGAAACAGTATTTCTGTTCTGCATGTGTCACTTTCTATTAGCATATAAGTCAGCTGTTTTTTTACATATAGCTCAAATTCAAGAGGACTTGAAACTTGTGTCTCATATATCATAGAATAAGTGAAGATGTTGGTCAAAGGAAAATTCTACAGTTTAGACTGTTTAAGGAGTTCAGATAAGAAATTTTCTTTTCTGATAAAGCACTATTGATTATAAATGTCTATTAAGGATACTTGAGCCATTAAAGTAACATTGGCCTTTGAAAATGCTTTAAAATACAGTCTCTGAAAAATCATGTTAAGCATGATATGAAACTAATCTTTCATTCAAAATAGAGATCCAAAGACACTAGTAACAACTGTAAGTACATAGTTTAGCTCTTCTATCTAATATTTGGATGAGCAGTGAGTTGGAACTATAGTCTGCACTAATGTTGATAGTCTCTTGTGTCTTATATATGGTGATGACTATACTTATCTAATTATTTTGATCTGATTATATATATAACTGTTATAATTTTAGCACCTAAATCATGCTCAGCCAAAGTTTAGTAAGCTGATGCTTAGAAATCCTGATGAATCCTGACAGGATCACTCTCAGCTATGGAGAAACCTTGTAGAAGCTGCATGACACATAGTATAGGATCAGGAGTATTGTCATTAGACAATAAGTAGTTGGTCTGAGACAATGGCTTAGTTTGACACAGCTAAGACTTTTCTATATATTATTTAAGTCAGTAGTATATGTTATGTGTATGCTGCCAGCCTCCGTGTCACCTCAACCAACCGCGAATCCAATCACACCACCCACCGGACTCCAACCGCTTCCCATTATCTACTAATTTTATTTCACCAGTATCATTTCACATCCATATTTCACATTGTAATATCTAGACCCCGAACTCAGTAACGAATACCGACACCGAAACCCAATGGAATCCGACTCGGAATTAGCTACCATTAGTATATAAAGCCATGTACATCATTGTAGCTACTCAGTTCGAATATCAACTTGGATAAGCTATCTACACTTTGTACTCACCCCTCCCTATCTTATCCATCGGATTCCGCTCTGAAGGATACTCCTGTTCACTTCTCTGACAGAACTCTATTCTGTCCATCCAGATCCTTAGGCTCTGACTCAAAGGTGATGTTGCTAATAGCTTCATCAATGCCCACGCACTCTGCTGGACTCCGCACATGCACTCAAGCCCACTCGATTGGCACGTTCCTAATAGTATATTCAAACTCAAACCCTTGAGTCAAAAATTTTATCATGTCCACCATATTTATCAAACCCACAGAGACCGATTCTGAACAAAGGCAGCCCATCCATCCAAACATGTTTTCCATGGAAGACATTCCAGCCTCTGTCTCAAAGGAACAACCAGGCCTGTTCAGATCAGCCTCCAGTGGGGGACAACCTTCCCATAGGGAAACCTACAATCACTCTAGCTTCACTGCCCGCTAACCTAATTACAACAATTCCCCTAACTCTTTCGATGCCACCAGCATCCCAACC